CTGGGGCTGCCATAACAAAGTGCCCCAAGTTGGGTGTCTTAACAAAGGAATGTATTGTCTCATAGCTCTAGAGGCGAGAAGTGTGAGATGGAGGTGTCCACACGGTTGGCTCCTTCTGAAGGCTGTGGGGGACACTCTGTCCCATGCCCTTCTCCTAGCTTCTGGTGGCTTGCTGGCCATCTTCCGCCTTCCTTGACGTGTAAATGCATCACCTCGATGCCTTCATCTTTACATGGTGTTCTCCCTGTGTCTGTTTCTATGTCCAAATTTTTCCTCTTTATAAGGACAGAGTTGTATCTGGTTAGGGCCCACCCTAATGACCTCATCTTATCTTGATCATCTGAAAAGACTATTTCCAAATAGAGTCTTACTCACACAGGAGCTGGGAGCTAGGATCTGGAGGTCTTTTTGGGTGATACAATTCAGCTCATAACTCTCTGACCCCAGATTCTTGTCCTGCCAGCTATGGACCCAGCTTTCTCTGCAGTCCGCCTGTCGCTGGTCATCTGCTTCCCTGCAGGAAGGCAGGAGGACAGATGGAGCAACATCCATGACTCCTTTTCAACTGTATAATACCGGGCAAATCACTTCCCATTCTGAGCCTCTGCTTCCTCATTTATAAGATGGAGACGATGGGTTCGCTGAGAGATGTCAGAGAGCTTAAGCAGAAAATTACTTGGCTGACATATGGCAAGTGCTCAGCAAATTAGAGACATTATTACTATTTATTCCTATGAGTCAAGGAAAGGAGGGTCAGTGATTCCTAACCCTGATCACACATAGGAATCATCTCAAGGAGTTTAGAAAACCTCTTAGTGCATGGGCTCCACCAGAGATTCTGACTCAATTTGTCTGGGATGGGATCCAGACTCTGATATATTTAGAAGCTTCCTGGTTAATTTTATTATGTAGATGGGTTTGAGAACCACCAGAATAGACAAAAAGATGGGAAACACCAGTGGAAAGTCTCGATGCAGCTGAAAGTCAGAAGGGGTGGACTCGGAGCTACTCAGCCAGCTGGTCCAGGCTGTGGGAGCTGCCAGGAAGCTCTTTGAAAAGTTGTGAATTAGGTGACCTCGATTTCAGAGACGTTTCTTACTTTGTGGTCTCCCTGAAAATGTTTTCCAGGCCTCCCTGATGATGAAGGTGTCCCTACTGAGGCAGGCCCTGCCCTGGGCCTCTTCTCCCATGGCAATATCCCATCTTGCTCGTCCGCAAGACCTGAGAGCTGGCCTTCCCCAGCCTCCATCTCCAGGTCTGTTACAAAGTCCTCAGTAATAGTTGATGCCAGGTGATGGCTGGATGTGCTACCTTCCCCCCAGATATTTGCCCAAGGGCACTCATCACGGAACTCAAAGACTCCTCCAGTGGGGAAATTCTGGACACCTAAGGGTAGACTTATGAAATAAGGATGGCAGAGTTTCTGACACCCCACTCTGGGGGAGCTGCCTGCTTGGTGTAAACATGACTCCCAAGGTCCCCGCGTTTGTGACCTGGAGAGCATTCATTTTACTGACTCTCTCTCTCGCTCCATCCTCTCCATCACAGCCTTTCTATGTATAAATGTGGGCTTGAGATGCAGCGGCTCTGGTAGTTGTGGGAGTGACACATCTCACCTCAGGAGACAGCTCCTGGTTCCCAGGCCCCTTCGCTGAGTAGGGAGGGAGGCTGTGAGCAGTCCTCTCTCTAGCTGCTCCGTTACCTCCTCCTCGTCAGGCCAGGCTTCTCCATGTTGGCTTCCTATGGTGCCACCCTTGTCCTCTGAGCGACACCCTGGCCACTCACTGCCTCTAAGTCCCAGGATCTCTTCTGTCCTCATGGAGGAGGCAGTGCCTTTTTGGTATGTGAGTGATGAGTCATATTAAAGGATATGGAAATAGAAGCAATTTTTAGTGGCAAAGCTACATAAGGTCTCTTAATTTATCATCAGGAAGAAGTTAGAGTGCTCATTTTCTCTTTGGCTGAATTCATAAGAATGTGGCAAGTTTCATAAAGGAAATGATAATTCTCTCCATCCTGATCTACTTGGAGGAGGCTGTTTTCTTTCCATTTCTTCAATTTTAATCAAGAATATGTCAGAAGGAAGAGTGGCCAGAGACAGAAAACCTTCTTTTAACACAAAGCAGGATTCTCTATCATCATCTGGTAATAAGCGACTTGGTCCACTTTGATCTACCTCTGGCTCCTGAAACTTCAGGGAAAAGGAAATGAAACCTAGGATGGGGAAATGCTTTTGCTAAACCCAGAGACTCTGCACCTGATTCCAGCTTAGCGTTCTGGAGTCACCCAACTGCCTTCTGTGCTGGAGCCAGAAGGGGAAATGAGTTTCTTTAAGTGGCCTGCAGTGGGGAAATATTAACTGCACAACGAGGGTGCAGAGCTCCTTTGATTGCCCTGAACAGGTTCCCACTGCCATTTCAGACGGAATTGATGTAGTTAAGCCCGAATTTCCTGGCAAGCCCAGGAGTCGGTTTTTCCAAAAGACATCTTAGACCGCAGAAGGCGTGGCCTTTCCATGTCTAATCGCAAAAGCAAACCACTGGACACATGCTGCCTGTTTCCAGCTGGTTGTGCATGTTTTCTCCACACTTTAACAAAAAAACGTGCCAAGGTGTGACATTTATGAACCCCACCAACTGGGAGCTGTGCACACAAATCGTTTTGCCTGTGGTGTGGGAAAGTGATGAATGGGGGCTGTTCTGCTGGCGGAGGAGGGCTGCTCTCCCTCTGGCATGCCTGCAGCCTTATTTATTACCCACCCAAGTATAAAACCGCCCGGCCGGCTGCAGCTCTCATCTCCAGCCTTGGCACTTGCCCGAAGAGACCACGGCGCCCGGAGCCCCAGCCGTCTTCTCCCAGAGGCTCTGTGGCTCTATTGAGAATCATGCACGGGAGGCAGCTCGTCTGCTGGCACCTGCTGGTTTTGCTTTTCCTCCCTTTTTGCCTGTGTCAAGATGAATACATGGAGGTGAGCGGAAGAGCTAATAAAGTGGTGGCAAGAATAGTGCAAAGCCATCAGCAGACTGGCCGTAGCGGCTCCAGGAGGGAGAAAGTGAGAGAGCGGAGCCATCCTAAATCTGGGACTGTGGATAATAACACTTCTACAGACCTAAAATCCCTGAGACCAGATGAGCTACCGCACCCCGAGGTAGATGACCTAGCCCAGATCACCCCATTCTGGGGCCAGGTACTCAGAATTCTCTTCTAAGGATTACTGTCAAAGTTTAATGAGTTGTGTTACTCTTGCTTTCTTTTCTTTTCTTTTCTTTTCTTTTCTTTTCTTTTCTTTTCTTTTCTTTTCTTTTCTTTTCTTTTCAGCTTTGATTCCTAGGATCAATGCTTTCGAGAAGTGGATCGCGCTGCTTGTGGGTCTCTCTCTGGGTTGCTCTGGGATACTTGGGGCGCTGCCGGTCTCTGTTGGAAAATCGTGGATGTTCTGAGATAAAGGGAGGCTGCAGCCACCCCATCAGAAAGGGGTACAGCGGCGGCCAGCTCCCTGCTCTCTGTGACTTGGTTTCTTTCTGGCTCTGCTGGTGTGGAAAGGAGGAGCACTGACCTTTGCAGACAGATGACCGCTGTAGATAATCATTTGCAGATCATAAGAAAATTGGACGTGCTTAATTGCTTCCCAGCCAGGAGAAGCTGCCCTTTGAGTTTTTCATTCGATCTGTGAGTCTACTGTGACATTTCACGCCAGGCTTTGTTATTTGATTTATGGCGTTCTAGGTTACTAAGCCTCTATATTCACCCCGTTTTAAAAAGGACCAAAGAGTTAAAACAAAAAAAAAAACTGTCTGTATCTAAAATGCAAACCTGCTTGTGTTGTGTGATGAAAGCCTGATAATCACAGAGGACTTGATTTATTTCTGGGCGTGTAAGCTCAGCGTCTAAGGAAACATCTTTAATTCTTTCAGGGTGGTACGGCAGTGAGTTGAGGTTTCAGTGTAGTGAATGGCAAATTCATGAAACTCAATTTAATTTAAAACATTAAGAACAGGAAGAAACAGGTTTTTAATTTGCCTTTATTATTTCTTAACGAAAAACATTTTAATGGAGGTGTAATTGACATACAACATTATATTAGTTTCAGGTGCACAACACAAGGAAGCAGCAGATTTTGATTTACCTTCTAGGTACCAAGCATGTGGTAATCAGACAAGGGGACTAGGAGAGTTACTCTGAATTATATGATCTGTGAACAAATACCACAGGAAGTGACTGCTTCTATGCATTGAATAGGCCCCGAAAAAGTCCATGAAATTGAAATCGAAACCCCTCCCACCACAGACTGAGAAGTTTCGATTGAGACTGGTAGTATGATCAGACCAAGGTCACACGCGGAAGTAGCTGTAGATCTGGGACAAACCTGGGATGTCTAACTTGGCCACAAATGCACCGTTCTGTGGGGCTGTGCCAAGAAAACATTGTTCCTTTGATGAGCCACAGAAGAAATGATAACTTCCTATACAATCCTGTTTTTTGAAAGCCACTTTTAGAGCTTGTCCGCTCATCTGACAACCTTTTGGCTGAAGAGCAATGAGGGCTAATCTGAGGTTTTCTCAGGGGTGAAGACATTTTCACTTTTGTCCAAGCCTTGATCTGGACTTTCTGTTTCAATAAAAGGATCTTTGCTGGATCCCTCCCGGCCATGGCAGTGTGAGCCCCCAGAGGCGGCAGGAGGCAGATGCAGGCTGTCCTTGCTCATTAGTTCTTGGCAACCAACACCCCAGCAGGCAACTGAAATCCAAATTACATTTCTTTTTCACCCCACCTACTGGTGCCCCTAGGCATCTAACATGCTGAAATCAGATGAATAGGTTAGAAGCTACTTTCTGGTTTTTGCTTTTTCTTTTTTTTTGTTTAAGCCAGGCTTTTTGAAAGAAGGGGGACTTTCAAACTTCCTTAGATTTCTGAAATATTTCCAAACCAGCCTCCAACAAGAGACACTGATATTCTAGAGGTTTCAGTGCAAGTCTCTGCCGTTGAAGTGGAGACCACATTGAACTTTGGATTGTACTGTGTTTTTCCTTCCTTCCTCACTTCCCCTAGCTCTTCTTTTCCTTTAATCCTACTTTTCCCCGCTTCTTTCACCAATCATTTCCTGTGCTTCTGTTATGTGCCAAGCTTGAGGATGGCGGTAAATATGCCCAAGCGCCTATCTCTGAGCAGTTCCGAAGGGCTCTCGTGGGGATAAATGAACAGCTTATTAAGTATCACGCGATGAACGACGTCAATGCACAAAAGGGAGCTGGGGGAAAACAATCAGAATTGTGGTGGCCGCTGAGCTGAATCTCAAAAGATGAGACAAAAGGGATGGCTATCCACGGAAAAACTAAAACCAAAAAAAATGCGTGCCGCAGCAAGAGCCTGGAGAGAAACTTGGAGGAGCGGGTGTGGCTGGAGCGCCGGCTGGGGAAGAAGACATGAGTGCTTTTAGTGTCAGGCTGGAGGAGTCTGTTGGCCAGTAGAGAAGCTTCAGCCTAATTTTGCCAGCAAAAGTTTTGTCTGTCTGTTTGTTCATAGCAGGGCGGGGAGCTAATCAGGTTTGTGTTCTGGAAAGATGACTCTGGCCATCGGGTATGTGCAGAGATGGGGATGAGCAGACTGGACTCTCTTTTCCTGACTTTTTCTCCTCTGTTGCTTTTCATTATTCACCTTTATCAGTCTCCGTCCTCTTCCTGGACACCTGTCTCTCCCTCTTCCTCTTCCCTTCGCCTTTTTTCTCTTCCCTCCTCCTTGGGTGAAAACTCCTAGAGTCATTTACGGAAGTAGCGCTCCATTCTGTGCAGCTGCCTCTACGTCTCCATCTACAAAACGGATGGGTCTTGTCTTAGGGACACCTCCTTCCTCCCATGCTGCCCATTTGCATGTTCTTGGTATACAAATTCGACCTAATTTTGGGAAATGGGTTGATAAACTTAAGGGGGTATAGACAGTAACTACCTAGTATGTGACTTTCCCTTCCCTGGGAGAAAACTCAGCAAACACATCCAGCCAACGTGTTCTAAGGGTCCATCCAAAGGCCCACAAACATTGTTCCACTTGACTGAACTTTGAAAGACCAGGCCAGAGGGAGGACCCCATTGTGAAATGTTGCAGGAGGGTTCTCAGGAGGTGCTGGACTTAGTGACCAGAAGTCTCTTCTGTTTTGGTGGCATCTCTATGCTCTCGAAGTGTTTGGACATTCACTCAGTCCCAGCTAGCTCTGATGCTGACCAACCCCATCTCCAGAGCTAGCTTCTCATGCCCAGATACTAGACTAAAAAAGCAAAGTCTAAGTCACTATTTGAGGCTTTGGAAAAGACTTCAGTATCTTTGTTTGCATTATAGAGCTGGAAAGAAAATTCATGGCCATCTTACCCAATCCTTTAATTTAGTAGACAAGGAAAATGATGTATGGGGGAAAGTGACTTCATGAAATTTACACAGAACTGAGACGGGTGTTCTGGTTCCAGTCCAGTTCTCTTTCTGTCATTCTTAACAGCTCAGTTTTTCACTTCTATTTTTAAACGAATGGTTTCCACTTCAGGATTTTCCCTCCTTCCCCTCCCTTCTCCTTCCCTAAAATTCATTATTGGCAGAACCTAGGATTTCTTGGAGCTTAAAAGGCTGTATTTCATATTAGCAAAATCATCCCAGGAAATTATTGGAATACTTACTTCTCAGATTGCATCTTTGGATGAGAAGGAGGGGTGGTGCTGTGGTGTCTGACTTTCCAAGTGTCTGAAGTCCCTCGTCTCAGACCACTGCTTTCACTGTTTATCTTTTCCTCCACCAGTTTTATAAAAGGTTTTCATAGACTCCCATACCTGTCCAGATTGGGAATAATGATCAAGAAAACTTGAATTTTAGGTGATTAGACTGGGAGGTAGCTTCTGATTGTAGCTCCTGATCACTTGAGATTCAGCTCTGAGCTGTTGCAGGGAAATTTGTGTGGACTGTAGATACTATTCTGCATTTTTTCGTAATAGCTAGGTGAGAACCTTCAGGAGAAAGGAATGAGAGTAAGGAAAAAGTCTGAGCTCTTTTTTGTCTTTTTTTGAGGCTTTTGTTGACTTTTAATGTGACTCATAACCATTTCTGCATTTAAAAAATGTTTTTTAATTGAAGTGTAGTCAGTTTACAATGTTGTGTTAATTTCTGGTGCATAGCATAGTGATTCAGTTATACATATATATTCCTTTTCATATTCTTTTTCATTATAGGCTATTACAAGGCATTGAATATAGTTCCCTGGGCTATACAGTAGGACCTTGCTGTTTATCTATTTCATATGTAGTAGTTAGTATCTGCAAATCCCAAATTCCTGAATTATTTCTTCACTCCCTCCTTCCTCCTTGGTAACCACAAATTTGTTTTCTATGTCTGTGAGTCTGTTTCTGTTTTTAAAATAAGTTCATTTGCCTCATTTTTTTCGATTCCACATATGAGCGATCTCATATGGTATTTTTCTTTCTCTTTCTGGCTTACTTCACTTACTACGACAATCTCCAAGTCCATCTATGTTGCTGCAAATGGCATTATTTTATTCCTCTTTATAG